TCTGGTTGATTCGTTCCTTGTCTGAATATCTGGGACATTCCTCTCCCAGCCCCCCAAGAATTAGAGATTGATTTTATTATAGGTTCATTCCTCTTTGTTTATGGCATCACATCTATTTGATAAAGACTGCAACACTGGCAGAGATTTAAAGTGCTTTACATGTTATATATGCAAAAAAGGGTAAACATCAAATATAGATCCAAGCTAAATGGCTTAAAGTGCATTGTTTATCATGCTGTACTTTATTGCTAATCTCACATATATCTCACTTCTAACAGGGAACAGGCCTCACACATCCATAAACAGCCTACACCAAGCTATTGAATGAGTAATATTTAAGCATAGCATTCATAAAATAAGTAATAAAATTACAGAGTTGACAGAGACCATAGAACTGTCAGAGAAATGGATGTCCAGCAATCTCTTTTCAAAAATGAGAATACTAAAGTTGAGAAAGCACTTGATGGAGTGGGATCAGGACTGAAGCCCAGATCCCCAGATCTGCACCCAGAGTTGTTTTAGATACCTTACCTTCCTTTGAAACGGAGGACACGGGAGACCAGCTGGAAGGGAACAAGTGAACACTGGCCTCTCTCAGGTGTCCGAAAGGCCCGTTTCCCTGTGCCAGGGCAGCACATAGGCTGCCATGCCACTGCCTGGCCTGGAAAATGCCCTTTCTTCTTAGCCTATACATTTCAAGTCTTATTTGGCTTGAAAGTTGCCACTTCCCAGAGTAATCTAAATGCCCAATGGGACTTCCGGAACCAAGCACAAGTGTCCTACCCTGGTAAATTCATTTTATTTGTGCCTTGACTCTCCGATTTTATAGTGCATTCCCTATGAAAAGCTGCAAGTTCCTTCACCCTGTTTCTCTCAAATGGAAAATGAGCATAAGGATGGACAGATATGGTTTTAAGGGACTGTAGATCTTCTGAAAAGGAAAGGGAAATTCACCTTTCAGTCCATAACATTCATTTATCAATGATGTCCATGATGGAGAAAGGCTAAGAACTTCTAAAAAGGGAGGAAGGAAAAAAAATAAATCACTGAGCCCAGGAAAACTGGTATCCTGGCGTTAGGTGTAATAAAGATCAATTGGGTAGAAATAGACAACGTGCACAAAAGCTAATATAACGCTACCGCACCGTGCTGTTAGAGGATACACGGCCAGAGGAGCCCAGGAAGAATAAGGGTGAAGTTGTAGTTCCCTTGTCTTTTTTCCTTCATCCATTTGTTCAAACTCTCCTCCGAATTGACTTCTGCACGTCAGTGAGATGAGAGCACCTCAGAGGGGAAGAGGCTTACAGACTTCCTTCCAAAGGTGGAGCAGGGTTGGGAATGCCAAGGTCAGGCTTCGTGGACAGGGGCACTGCCTGGTTGCCTGCATAGCTGTGGGCTGGTCACTATGAAAAGGGGCACAGGGGCCTTTCATCATTTTTTTTTTCCTCAAAAAAAAATCTGCAAACTTCCCTCATAGCGCTGAATTAAAGTCTGACATGTTAGGAATGAGAAAGAACTTCTTGGGACCAGCAGATGGCATAATGGTTACTTCACTGGACTCCCATGTAGTCAACTGTGGTTCAAATCCCAGACCTGGTGGCATAGACTCACGCCAGGCACGTGTGTGTGCATGCCCAAAATCCCAACAGGAGAAGGGATTGTGGAGTGGCCATCCCCACCCCCCGGGACAGGGGTGTGATTTCTTGCTTTCTGACTGTTTGGCTCTATCTCTCCAGGGAGAGCAAAAGTCTCTGAAAAAAAGAAAGAACAGAACTTCTGATACCACTGAGCCACCATTGCAGTCCAACGCCTCGAATGAGATGACACCTTGAAAGAGAATAAGGCCCAAGACAGAAACAGGGCACTCCTCTTGATTTGCTAACACGCTGTGGAAGCTTTCTGAGAAAATGCAGAGGAGGTGCAGAGGGGCCATGGCCAGGAGTAGCAGCTAAGCCCAAGAGGGCCAGGATGGCTACGATCAACCTGTGGGCTTTCTCAGATGTGATCTGCCATCCTCAACATCCACATGGGCAAAGACAGCAGCTGCCAAGTCATGGCATGCTAAAGGAGAACCATGGAGTCCTCTTTTCACCTTCTATGCTAATACTTAGGGAAGGTGCCTCCTGATACATCCTGTTCCATTGAAACCATGGAATTGAGAAATTCCATATACCAATAGCAACAGACATTCCATGCACCAAGTAGTGTTCACAGGAAACCCTGTGTGCCAGTTATAATTTTGAATAAAAATCACATTAAAAATTTCCTATGGGAACACAAACCATGAATTTTTAAAATATCTCCAGAACTTGATGGACAGTGTGAGCACTCCTATGTCCGCCTGAAGCATTTGGCTGTTGACACAACATAGTTTATCTTTTTTTTTTTTTTTTTAAATAATTTCTTCCCCCCCCCCCCCCCAGTATTAGCCTCTAAGGAGACAATGAACTGTACCCATGACTGGGTAGCAAGTATTCCAGGTCAGAATGTCTTGGTAGAGTTTAAGACAATTCTTACTACTGTGGACCAGCTTAAAAATATTTTAAACATATGATACACTATGAACCTCTCCAATATCACGAGGCAAGCTATGATTTGTATATTTTATTTTGACTTTACATGCGGTGTTAAAAACCCAAAGTACATTATTATTTACACATCCACAATACAAGTTTACAAGATATCTATACATGTTAAAGTACTCTATAAAACAGTATAGAGCCACTTCACTTTAGGGTTACTTTTTATGCCGTACCATTAAAAAAGATACAATCTGTGTTTACCTTTGCACAAATGGATAAAGCATTTAAAATTAAATTAACAGGATAGAGACTAGATTTCATGTTAGAAATTTCAACATAAATACTGATAGAACTACATTACAAATTACAAGGAGCACAATGTTACAAAATGTTATCTGGGGTCACATAGAGTTACTGTTCCGTTTTACACACGCTGGGATTAATATTGGTAAGGTCAAGAAGCGTTTGTTGGTGGACTGAGTAGTGTTGATCATTGGTTGTTTTAATTTATTATTAATCTGTCATATTTTAGTCGCAAAGCTGACATATTTCAAGAACAGAAGTTTGAGCTTTTGAGCTTTCAGAGATCACAGGAAAACATGTTTTCTACAAAACAATCTTCTCAAAAGAAAAGAATAACCATATCAGTATTCTACATTCTGTATAAAAATGATCTGGTTTTCTGCAACCCGTCCTCCCCCAAGTAACAGATAGCAACGTCATCACAAGAAATCCGTTGAACGTATTTGTCTAAGTCCAGAGCATCCCTCTGCCGTGGTACTTTCTAGATTAGCTCGATAAACAATTGCGTGGTATGCAGCATATTAACTGAAAAGTCATGGGGGTTGCACATCATCAACTGTAAGTGGTTTCTGCCAAACTACGCATAAATGACTCTATGGTTTCCACAGGTGGGACGTTACCCAGGAAACCTCATTAGACTTCACATTATCACTGTTTCATCCTTAGGAAACCAGGAGTGGAATGTTTATCATGACAAAGGATGCAATGCTGCTGTTAGGGTGGACTGTTTAACAATGACTTGTTCTAGGTCATTTGTCTGATGTTTTAGAAAGTCTTTTCAGGTGCTGGTTGAAAAACATTTACAACTGGCACTCAGTAAACGATGTGCTATATTGAAAACACTTACATATTTTAGTACTTCTAGCATTCTCATGAATAAGGCACAAAATGCACAGATTCAGGTAAACTCACATGTGGTATTTACAGTTTACTGTCATTACCTGCATGACTTAGAGAATTCCGACATAAACAACACAGACAACATGATCGCACCACTGTTAGGTTTTCACGGGCTGTTTCTGTTAAGCCAATTACGGTTTCTTTCTTTCACATATATCTTTCTTTTGCCTTCTGTTATGTTTTGTTTTTCTTTACCTTGAGGGTAGGAGGAGTTAAAGGAGAAGAAATGGTATTACATGAAGAAAAAAAAAAAACACATACACACGCAACGGAAACAAAACCTTATTAGTACATCCAAGGTTAAATAGAATGACTCGGGTGTTGATTCACAGTGGACAGGTAAATCTGACTACTGAATACTGTGGATAAATCAAAGATACCTCTTAATATCTCTATCTCCTTAAGCTGGCAAGACTGGAATAGAAGTTTTAATGAATAGCAGCACAAAATACTCGGAACTCTTACACTCTGACAGTGGGTACCACGTAAGTCAAGTTCATCAGTTTGACGGTCAAGGGAGTCTCAATTGTATCCTTTCTCAACACTGAACCCAATGGACTGACTGCTGTGGGAAGAGGTTATTGTCTCTCGTTCAGTCATGCTCAATGTAAACAACTCCATAGCACAAAAAGATGCAATGGGCACCTAAACAACTCCTAGTGGGTACAGAACACACAAACACACACCCACACCCACACACCCGCACACACACATCTGCCACACAGTTTATTGGTGGCATGAAAAAAATGCCACACATGAAAAATAATGCTACAGTGTGGGTCAAAGACTGAATTTTTAGCAAACCGCTTGGTAATCTACAAGTTCGTATTTTTTTTTTTTTTTTAGACATTCCAATCTTTTTTTTTTTTTTTTT